TACCTTGGTAAATGACCTGCGATCTACCAGAAAGGACAGCGAATATCAGCCAAGGCATGTATGAAGCTCTGCCTTCAAAGAGAGAGAGACCGAAGGAAGGAGTATGGAATGGAGGAGCAATACGGAATAGTTCAACCAGCGCAAGCTCTGTGAAGCACTAATTTATCTGTTGCTAAAAGTTCAGTTCTCCGTAAAGTATTTCGCACGAATCGTTGTGTTGGTTATTCAACTTATTCCTGTCGTTTCTACATAAATATTGCACTAAAACACTGTACTAACACGAGAATGTCGACAACTATATCGAAACTATATCGAAAACTTGAATGAATAAACAAGTAATGATTTGTTTCGTAAGCACAATATCAAGTGTACAACTGAACCACACTAAAAAATGAACGAATGAAAAGGTGTCGAATGAATGCCAACACTACATGAGTCCTTGAAATCCCAAACAGATATGTGCGACAAAGGAAAGTCCCATTAGTTAGTTTAGCAATTCCGAAAATATTCGATTTTCGCCATCACCAAACCTCGTAGATCTCAAGCCATGGGTGATCTAGTGGGAACGATGTTTTGGAATTTGGTCGTTGGCCCAGGGGATATAAATAGGTCAGGAATCGATAGCCACTTCAAGTAGGCTCAGCAAACATATTCCTCCCGATTTGCTGTATTGTTCTGTCTATTATTGTACTACATAAATGATATTATCCACTGGACCACTGTCGAAACATATTGCTAATAGAAGATATAAATTCTTTATATACTTATAGGGAAATCTCTTTTAAGAAACATTCTACCGCAATGAGCTTGCGTCCTCTGTTTTGCTACGAAAGCATAGACCTCTCTTTCGTCCCTCGCGTAAAAAAACTATTAGCACTCCAACTCCTTCAAAAATGTAGCAAGTAATTGGTCATTAGGCAGACCACGTAGAACTCATCGGTGGTTTAGAATGTTTGCTCAATAAGTGCGGAGATGAAAACCGCTTCGTTTCTTGTGAAACCCATGCCAATTTGCTGCCGACCTCAACCTTTCACACTCTCTCCTGTGTGATCAGTCCTCACTCCGAGCTCACATACAGATTAAAGAGGACGCTGCTCCAGCTCATAAGCTTTTGTAAGAAAGTAGTAAGTGCTAGTGAGGTAATAGTCATCCAGAAAGGAGTGCCTTGTCGAAATGGTTCTACCGTGTCATACAAATGTATGGAGTGGGATTGACGAAAAAAGCTGTCGAAGCGTTTAGTACATATATCGGTCAATCATTTAAGTTTTGTGAAAAATCATCGACCTCCTCAGGAAATTCATGAGAGAGTTTGCGGTCTCGTCAGCCATCGTACCTTTTTTTGATAGACGATTAGATAAAATTTATTTGTATAACTCCACAAGAGATTTACAATACCTTAATGGCCGACGTTTCGGTGAAACCACCTTCGTCGGAGCCTTCCTGGTGAGCAGAACCGGCCCTGAGCGATGCAGACTCGCTGTCTCGAGTTCTCGTGCTGCACGTGGAGATTAGATAAACATGAGAGTTTATGACATTGGATCTCATTGGAGAACAATTTCCCTCGTAACCCTATTGACTCGACAACTGCCACGAAGAACCCTTTTTCCTAACATTCGCTTCGCAAGCCCATCCACGCTTGTTGCTTTTAACTGTTATTCATCTACGATCTCGTCTATGTTTTCGATAAGGCGATAACACACTTTCCCTGTCAGCAGCTTTCACACACCAGCAGGAGAAAATTGTGTGATTCAAGGCTCTGTAATCATATACAAACCCAAAATTGATGGTGCGACATGAATTTTGCATTTTTTAGAAAGATAAAATCGTTCAGTCAACTAGCAGCTGTAGTCAGCTCTACAGTCGGTTGAGATCGTAGATGGAACAGTATTTTATTAGTCCCCAGATTTTTGATCCCGGAATCGAAGAAACGGATAAAACTATCAAAGGAAATCGACAGATTTATCAATGTACAATGTATTACTGAAAAAGGACTGATCAGACGACTGAAAACTCTGCCGGTAAAGTGACATAAAGTTTTTCTGATAGGGGCAAATGGTCCCTGCAAAGATTGTTCCCTTAGATTATGAAGCAGTTTCTGTAATGCCACCCACCGAATAGGGGGACTCATAAGCTACGTATGTGACTGCATATAAGCATTGTAAAGCTGCACTGTAAAACTAAATGAATAGAAACAGAGAGAGTCGACAGGAAGGACTTCATTCTGCAAGGGATATATTGACTGAATAGCAGACTGTTTGCAATTGGCAGGTGCCATCAATGTGCCCACCGAATCGAAAACGTTGAAGAAGGAGTTGTTGATTCGAATAAAAAGGATCGATGCTGAATAAGTAACGAATGACTGACATGGACAGAGATGGATGACTTACAGTAAACAGAGTGGAGCGATAGAAAATTTATTGCAAAACTGCACGAATTTTTGAGCACGTCGAATTTCAGTAATGCATACTGCTCATAGAAAGCGTTGAATCATTTCCTCAAAGCTAGTTTCACCAAAGACTATTGTGGAAGAACAATTCAGCTCATCACACGAGCATCATTGGTGCGAATTACAAAATTCTTAAATTCATCCCAGGAATTACGGAGCCAATCTGCAGGTTCGTGAAGGCACCTTCTCTTTTGTTCTACTGTTGTAGTCCAGCTGTACTGTCCCGTTCGAGTATGTCATCAGAATCCCTAGAAAGTCTCCTCATGCCACTAGGTTGAAGAGGTCTGTTCAAAACCATTATAACCGGAGTTCCTCGAATTAACTAATTGCATTGCAGCCGCATATGACCATCTAGAGAAGCTTTTTCAATTCTGCTCCCCACTTTCGCCTCACCAATCAGAGCTGAAAAGCGAAGTTGTTCGGGAGATGTAGGACACAAAAGTCTTCGCTTACATAAGGAGAAAAATCTATAAGAAATCTATATAAGACGACAGTCTACATGATTTGTTGGGAGTAGGTGAAGGCTCCTTTCTCCTGATCCCTTGGCTCCAATTATAAAATTATTTCCCTTTTTGAATGTTTGCGCAAGAGTTCTCTCATCTGCATAGCTTATCGATCTGAATCTAGACGCAACCACTGCTTACTACAAGCTACTTCACTGCTTTTACATTACCACTAGCTCCTACACAAATCCATATATAAGCCCTGGTTTCAAAGGCTGAGGACTAGTGCACCGCGCATACACTAGTCCTCAACCTCTGAAAGCCGTAGCGTCTCTACAATGTACTCAAACAGATCTGAAGTGAACGAAACGGTGCCCTACTTAAGGACTATCTACGAGTTCAGGTGGTGCAATGCCAAGTGGCACACTAAGACACGCATGGTACGGAGAGTCAAGTTTCCTTTCTTTTCAGAGTCAGTAATCGTAACACTGTCGTTTAGGAGGTAGAAACTCAGAGTTGTAATACATCGGCAGGATACCACTAGTCATTGTAAAAGCTTTCTAAGTATTCAAAGTGTCACTACATTCTTGAATGGGAGCTGGACGCGGAAGACTGTACAAAAAGTGTAGCCCTATACGCCTATACTTAGATATGTTGCATAAGCATAGACGTGTCGCAGATAATGCGGTTAGCCATTTCGTCTACCTAATATTTTCATCAGGAGTTACTGCAAGGATCTATAGAACTCGATACCGATTTTAAAAATCGTAGTGGCAAAAAGGTATTTCCGTGGAAAACAGGGAACGAGATGTGGAAATATACTTTATTCATAAGCTTTGTAATAAGTTCAAGACATTGGGCACATACACTTGCCGATAAAAAATGCAATAAAATAATATGAGCAAGTTGTAAACACTCCTTACATTTAAAAACCATCCAGTCAACCGGGAGTTGCAAACAGGAGATCGATATACATATGAAGCATAAGGCAGTGAAGAGCAAAAAAACATGGAAATGTTAACAGGAGAACGAAACAATTGAATGCGATTCATGCTCGTGGGAGCGATGAGACGACAACATTGGAACAGTCATGAAGTCGGAAACAGTGTCAGCCTTCTAGGAAAAGGAGTCAACCAATACGCCCGTTGTTCCCATGAAAAATTAGGTTCTTTTCACTATCTCTGCTTTATAACTGGAGACAATTATTGTCTCGTACCCACCGATGTGTGACACACAACCACACTCAAGGACTCTGTGGTGGCAACCACAGATTCCCACATTATAGGTGTGTGTCAATAATCTTACTAGGAGAAAGAAGTCATTAGAGAGTGGCTATGGTGTTTCCCAAGAAACGAAAATCCCAACTGATAGCGGAATCAGTTGAAAAAGCATAGATGCTGCACCTAAATTCTCTCCTCAAAACTTTCTTTTCATGGGAAAAACCGGGGGAGAACGAAAGAGTATTCAAACAGAAAAGAGGAAATGATGTAACTCTAGCCAAAGTAAGAACTGCATGTATTGAGATTGAACCAATGAATAAAATAATGTCAATAACATAAAAATAAAGGATTGACAATGAGAGAAGAAAAATGGCAGCAGAAGTACCCTTCAAAGCATTAACATCATCACTCCTAACACTTGTACTAGTGAGATTTTCGTAAGTCCGAATTCAACCTCGTCATCCATCAGCGCTCCAATTTTGGAGTGTTTCATGCCTTCAGCCTTTTGGCTCACTTCGGAGTTGCGTTCCCGGTCGAACCTGATTGATGCGATTTCGATTAATCAATAAATATCGATTTGTTTTCATCACATCATTGTGTTAGGGACTGCGTAACATTGTGTTCTTTTGAGATCATGCTCTCTGATGCTTTGAAGCGAGAGATAATTTACAAGACTGGGAGTAAGGCTGTCCGAGCTAATATCTTGGCTGTTCTACGTCCATAGAGACTCATTCGAGGAAAAAGATACTTTGAAAGTGTTCACCTTTCACCATCACGTTTAGTTGTTCATTGAATTCATTGAATAAATAAATAAATAAATAAGTAGTGGTCCGTTTTACGGGAAGAGAATGTAGTGCTGTTTACTGTATTACCTTGTTGCACAACTGAGCATCATAATACGTCATCTGGTACTGCAGATCCTTTTCGTGAAAACGAACGCAACGAACCAGTGTCGAATGAATGACTGACACTGAGATAGGTCCTTGAAATCCTGAACAGATTATCTGCGACAAAGAAAAGTTCAATCGTGGTCGTACTAGTAGCATTCTACTGCATTAGCCGTGCATCTCCTCTTTCTTCACAAAGCATACATCTTCGGTTTGGCTGTAGGGAACATTATAGCAAACTTGATCACTTGTTTTAATTGCAATCCAACTTACTCAGTCAGAAATGTAGCTCATAATTTTTGGCTAATGGACACTTCGAACTCATCGATGGTTCGGAATGAAGTCTCATTGAGTGCGGGATTGGGAACTCTTTTTCCTGAGAAACTCATACCAGCTTGTCACCAATTTCTACCATTCTCAATCACTTTGTGTAAATAGGTTTCGTTCAAAGCTGACCACTGTCTTACCGGGTCTCTGGCTACCCATAAATGCCTAGTCTTCTCTGAGTATGGCCGCTACCTGCTTCAGCTAGATAAAATGGTTGCTGAGGTCGGGAACTGGGCACCAACCACCCACATTATTACAAAATGATGTCAGCTGAGCTGCCTTTTCATCGCCTCACGCATCTTCACATGAAAACTGAGATATTGGGGTGGGGAGGGAATAATAATGAGGGCAGTTGGCAATTGCTGTATACTTTCTTGATAGCTTATCGATAGGTTTATCCTAAGTGTTTTCTTGGTGGGTCAGCAACAAAGCAAGTCTTCTCTCTGTACTCGATTATAGTATTTGAAATTTGGAAGCATCTCATTGATTCATGACTTTACTATCAACTACCATTACTTCTAAACACTTTCTAAGGCATAAAGACATGCAAAGCCATTCTCAAAGCCTAACTATACTTTTCGTTAACACTGTTACGAATTTGGTAGGCTAATTCTACCCGACCGATTACCTGCTGCTCACTCTCCTTCCAGACAATCTAGACATTCTCCTGAACAGAATGAAAGTTTTCAACGATCTTTTTCTCGGTCTTCTTTTATTTCACCGAAAACGTTACTATAGTCGTTATTGCGGTATTAGACCACCAGCAAGACTCATAGACCCATTTGTACAGGGAATTATGTCCTCTCCGTTTGGATATGTTTGTAGAATCAGCTTGCCTGTGAGGACAAAATCAAAGTTATTTGACATCTGCTGATTTCGCAAACCCAATGTTTACACTGATTCAAACAAAAAAGCATGAATTCTATGTTCATGAAAACCCCTATGAATTGATTGATTGTCTACAGGGATTTCCATGAGCCCCTATGCAAAAGAGTTCATCGTTGACCAGCTACAGCTTCCATACAAGCGTTCTTGGTGACTTCGCCAGATTTGCAGTCAAAGCAAAAAAGATTCTTCCAAGTCCGACTGTTCATTTGGTACACTCGTTTGCGGTGAATAGGGTAGGACTTACTCACTGCATGCGTATGTATTGAACGTTCAGTCGCTGCACAGTTTCATTGGGGAGTCCTCAAACGAAAAGATCTCAGAGAGCTTTTCAGTCCAGTGAACTGCCCTTGTGGTCATTCATATCTGCTATGCGCCTAGCCTGATCATAGTTTCAAGCTCAAGAAACGTCACTGGGCTCGTTTAAAAAGACACTGAACATTTTGAGCGGAAAAAGGAATACGGTGAAGCTTACAAACTTATTTTGCAGTAGCTCATTGTGAGCAAAAAAACTCAATTCAAGCAAAACTCAGGTATGCTGCCACTGCATCATCGAACGCCGCATGCTGCACTTAACGGCTGCACGCGGCCCCACCTTCGAATGCTGTTCCACACTTGCCTTGTGCTACGACGCTCTCGTTGCTGTCGTAGCAACATTTCATGCGGTCCCTCCGTTTCCGATAACGAAGTACGTGAATCTCCAACGTCGATGTCGTCATCCTTAACAAATATGAAATCAGCATGAGAAGCCGGGAGCGGTTGAGACGTTCTGTGTTACGGAATCGATGGCGTGGTTACGTTGCAGCTTATGCGTCAAGAAATGTAAGTTAGCGATTCGATCATTCCTGAACCAATCCCACTTCACCCGAGTTTACTTCAAGGGGTAAAGATGAAGGGTGGAGGTAGAGTTCTACGAGTAGCGCAGTGAAACGTACTTGGTCAAAAGATTAGACACTGCACCCGCATTGGCCAACAAGACCTCTACTTGCATTACTTGAAAGTGGTGGTTGATCCTGACTCGTATGGGGGACAAAAGCGCTGGAATAAGCATCGATACATATGTGCACAAGCCCCTATCAAACATGTGTATATACTCAGCTTCAGACCAACTACGCTTGGAACTTCGCTACCATGGCGTCGGCCCTTTCCAAAACGAGATCGATCGACGCAAAGTGACTTTATCTTTTATTCTTCTAACTTGCGATGATCATTACTTAAAGTGGAGGAAGTGGCGCAGGGCAAGTGGGGAACGAGAGCATTACAGTAGCCTGTGCGACTTGGACCATGTGGAAAAGTATGTATGTAGACTCCTCCCCTTTCTAGCGCTGAAATAGATCGATTTTTGAACCTAGAACCATCCTTCATGAAAGAAAAAATCTAGTGCTGCCGTCAGGGATAGCTGCCGTCCACAGGTTGCCTAGTATGCGTCTCCGAACACAAATCTCAACGTGCACTCCGAATCTGCCTAAGATTTTGGGAATGGAGTGTCAAGGACGTTTTTTTTTCTATGGAACACGATTTGGCGGGCTTGTATAAGAGTCATATTTTGGAAGGGCTCATAACAAGGAGAATAAGCCCCGCCGATCGTTATCTTCAGTTTTTGTACGAAGGGGACAACTAACTGTAAATAGCAAAGCAACGGTAAACCAGGCCTCGTTACTACGCGTCGTCGATCTATAAGATACCTGGCAAAATGTGAAACGAAACTCACCTTAACAATTACATAGTACGCCGTCAGAAGTGCAGCTGAATTTGCTGCAATTGTTATTATTGAAAGCATAGGTTGTAGGTGACCAGTCACCAAGGCAAGTATCATCACTAAAATACGTTATGGCATCGTAAACAAGCGCTAATAAATATTTTATGTCACTGAAACTTTTGATAAGCCCACGCAATTGTTAATTTGGATGAAAGAAGCACCTGGAGAGCATAGGCTTAAATTCGTATTTTTATTGGGTTGTCCGAAGAGTTCGTGCCAATTTTTAACACCTTTGCTTCATCAAGTGTTTTGAAATGATTGTTGGCATAATCTCATAGAGTCATATATTTTCTGAAAGTGTAAGTCTTAATCTATATCACTTTTTTGGTTATGTTGATTTTCTTTGAAGCTTCTTTGTATAAGGCTTGAGTGAAAATGGAATACAATCGCGAGCATTTTCGCCATCTAATGCTTTTCTTCTATCGCAAAGGAAGGAATACAGCACAAACCGCGAGAAAGATCAGTGGCGTTCACGGAAAGGATGCTCTTAATGATCGTACAGTTTGTAAATGGTTTGCGAGATTTAAGCGGGATGAATACAACCTCGAAGATCGGCAACGCGCAGGGAGGCCATCATCAGGCAACGCGCAGGGAGGCCATCATCACTTGAAGAGGATAAATCAAAATGATAACCGAAAGGATCGGCACATCACTACTCATGAAATAGGAGAAAGGCTTAGTGTCCCGAAATCAACCGTCGATGACCATTTGTTGGGACTTGGTTTTGTTAAACACCTCGATGTTTGGGTACCTCACAAACTGAGCGAGCTCAATTTGATGGACCGCGTCTCCGTGCGACCCTTTGCTCGAAAAGAACGGAAATAATGAGCCGTTTATGAAACGCATGGTAACTGGGGACGAAAAGTGAATCTTGCAAAACAACGTGGAGCGGAAACGATCTTGGAGCCTGCCCAGTGAGCAAATTCCAAAGGCGAAAATCCATGGGCGGATGGTTATGCTGGACTGCTAGTGGGATTGGAAGGGAATAATTTATTATGTGCTGTTGCCGCATAACCAAACGATCAATTCGGAAAGGTACTGTGGTAAGATGGACAATTTGAAGGCAGCGATAGGTCAGAAGCGCCCAGAACTGGCCAATCGTAAGGGCGTTGTCTTCCACGAGGATAACGCCAGAACCCACGTATCTTGGGCCACTCGTCAAAAATTCTGGAGCTTGGGTGGGATGTCTAACCACATCCTCCATATAGTCCGGATATCGCGCCATCAGACTACCACCTGTTTAGGTCTCTGCTAAATTCCTTGAGTGGCAAATCATTCGATTCATTGGAGGACCGCAAAACGCACCTAGAGGAAGTTTTAATTCTAAGTCTACAAACTTCTATGAAAGTAGGATAATGAAACTACCAGAAAGATGGTGGACCATCGTAGAACAGTAAAGAGAATATATTGTTTAATAAATGTATTTGTTCTTTTAGAAATTCTCACACAAAGTCGACCAAGAAATGGCACGAACTTTTCGGACAACCCAATACATCTCTTGAGCAAGATTCTTATTGTGAAGTGCCACGTAAAGCACCAAACTCCCGAAAAAAAATCGAGATCAGATTGTTGTCCCTTCCAATCCAAAGATAAGGTAGCTCCTATGTAGATTTAATCAGGTGAAGTCGTTGTAGAGCTCGATTGATTTTCTATTAGAAGTAAAGTAGGTTACCGCCCTGAAAAAATCATGTGGAACTCACGAGCATTATTGTTTTGGAAGTGATTAATGGTGAGACTGAGAGTCGTGATGAAGGCAGTCGGCACTTGTACGACGAGAAAAGCAATCGTAACCGTCGTTATCAATATTCGAGTTTGATCGCGTGGTGTACGACCAAATCGGTTACTGTAATTAAAAAAATTACTTTGCAGGATTTATCGAATCATGGTGTTTATTTGGCCACAACAGTTCTGACAAAGGGTTAAAGCTCTAAACAATTCTTGAGTTCCATTTAATTCCAAAGCCGAATCGAAATCACAGAAAAAGTAAAAGTATTATTGGTTAACGTACTGTCTGGTCATATCTCCCATATCAATTTCAGGTTCTCGTATGAATCCGACATGAAGAAGTGCCAGCAGACAGCCAGGTATAAGGAACTGAACAACGAAGTCCGATAAGGGTAGAAAAACCTGAAAACGCTAGTTGATGGAAATTTCTAAAAACGATGTGAACAGATCTTGTGAGGTTTGCTTCTGGCTTCTAGAATAAGCTGCTAAGGAAAACGCAGAGAAGTTTATTTCCTGACCCTAATCACTTTGCAACACGACCATTACTCGCACCTCTCTGTCCATGATTTCTTTGTATTCATCCGTTGAAGAACCTAATTCCGATTAAAATCAAAAACAAAACAGCCATTTGTAACAAATCACACCCCGCCCACCGGGCCAGTGTGGGCGGAGTCCGGTCCTGCCACCCACCATAAGTGTTCCCATCCTGCAGCCTGTACTCCTACCAAATTTGAACGCTCTAAGCNGGGGACAGAAGTTTTGACTCTCCACTCAGACATTTATTTCGCACAAACCCCGCTCCCTATGGGGGGTTCCGGTCATACCACCCACCGTGTTCGATCTAACTTACAAATGCACACCTCTAGCCACCTTTACACCCCAGTTTTGAAGCCGTCTTGTGACTGAATTGAAATCATGGTCCTCAGCACAGCTCATTTCAATGCACGCCACGCCCACTGTGGGCGGGGCTCCGCCAAACTGATGTGTGCTTTATACTTCTCGTGACACGGCCCACCCATCGCACGCTTGACCCGGTCTCTCCAGGCTGATCTAAAGTAGCTAAGGAATTTCGCGACAGACATACATAACGACAGACGACAGACAGAACGACAGACGAAGCGCTTTATAGTAAGTAGGATCTTCACTAGATCCTTGAGAAAAGAATCGAAAGTGTCAAAATGTAAACCTCACCTTCCAGAATGATCTTGTTAGTATGCTCATCAAAGCTCCGTCTCGTACCATACAGCGAGCTGCCCACTGCGGTGTTGGCTCAGTGTCTGGAATAGATTCATAGTTAGCTTTTTACAACTGATTAGCAGAGCTGAAGAATTTAGACATCGCAACACTTGCATCCTATTCATAAGTTAATCGTAAATTCCCATAAGTTAATTAAAAATTCAAAAACAGAGGAACGCTGAAACTACTTGTGTCACATACAAATCAAGGTGTTCATGGTGTTCTACTATTCTACGATGGAGAATGATTCTATATATTGAGCCGAAAACATACCCATACAAAACTGGTATACGGTTGTGTCATGCTCGAAGAACCTCAACAATCCCGTCGCAACACATACAAAAATAATCAGCCAAATCGCTCGCGAAAACCGCTCCACTGTTCGAAGCTTCAACGTATTCCGATGATATTGGGTTAGGAACCTGAACGAAACTTTGCAAATAGCTGAAAGGAAATAGCTAATCATTATTATCAATGATTCCAGATTTTTATTTCGGCAGCTCAGAATAAAACCTTACTTGCTGAGCAAAGCGGATGTGCTGCTATGGTAATATCGCAAATTTATCTTTTGTTCAATTCAATATTGATTAATACCTGGTCAAAACAACTGGACCGACAAAATCTTTGGAAAGGGCTATCAGGTGGGATGCGAATTCGCTCGGGGTTCATTCATCATAATCACTACTGGGAAAAGAATCAAAAAATCAGATCCGAACGTCGGGTAGCGCGAATATCCGTTTTGAAATGCTGCTGGACAGTAGCGCTGGATAGCTTGAATACCTTGCTGCTGCCAGCAACACACTGAAAAGTGTCATCATGGTATCGATAGTATGTGGTATCGCTTCCATGGTCGTACGGAATACATGGCACATAACGACGGATTGATTAAGAGATCTGAAACCACATCGAAAAGATAAACATAGTGAGAAACGTACAGTGAAAAAGAATACCTAGTTCCTTCACCAATGATATAGTACCACACAGTGAACGGCAACGGTGCCAGCACACTCACCCATCCGCAGAAAGATAACAACCAAATCATCTGATAAAGTGGATTTGGCTGAAATATTTTTATGATATCGGAGAGAAAGATCGCTTGTGTAGATGAGCCAGGAATAGACTTTGCNGGGTGGCCCCCCCCCCCAACTACATTTTCACCGATCGCTTGTGTAGATGAGCCAGGAATAGACTTTGCTCCGAAAAGATAACAATTTCTGATATTCAGGTTCCTATATGTCCACAAGTCGCAGCTAACAGCAAGATGATCCTCAAGTTCTTCGCTAATTCTTGTAATATTTATAGGTTACAGATCGTTCCAACCTCTACTCACGAAATGATCTTGCTCAACTGAATGAGTTCTGTGATAAAACATAATAATATCCATCGTTTATAGACAAGCCGTTACACGTTCCATTGAGGCCAGCGAGTTGAATAACTTCCGACTTCTTTTGCAGCAGTGTCACCGCAGGATTGGTGGGCCCTAAGATTGGTGATAGCCAAATTTTCACATTTTTATATTCTGAGTGGTACTGGAATACGGCACTCACTAATCAATCACTCTATTACAGTACAGTGAAGTGGCGTTGGCGCCTCTAGGGCGCGCTGAGGTACAACTTTTTTCAACGCGCCCTAAAGCCTATGAGGCAAAGAAGCCCTGACGAACACACGAAATATAAAAAACTCCTCTTTTATTCCACCGCCTAATTTGCTTGGAAGTCACATCCGAAAGACATCCTTTCACTCGAAAGGCGCATCAACTGAAACCTACTTTGAGGACCTGTTTTCGTGCAACTATGCATTCAGCTTCCATAACACATCGATTGAATTTGTTCACGTAGACTGTGTCTTCAGAAGAAGTTGTTTCCTCGCAAGTACGATGATCAAAATGCAGAAGATATAGTTTGCAGAGTTTTTCAAAGAGGAATCGGAATTGATGATGCATTAGATTACGTGTTTAGATTAGCTCCGCCTTGCTACATCAATTGTGGCCGACCATTGTGACCATGCGCTTCCATCTGCGGTTATGCTAGGTTTCAGGTCTATTTATTAAAAATTTTGCTACCCCGTAAGACTCGTTTTACAGAATGAATGAAAGCGTTCTGGTTGTTTTACTCGACAAAGCCAACGAAGTCAGTCTAGTTTTTTAGCCGAGATCATTCATGAGCAAGCAATTGACAGAGGTTGTTTCGTGGATGCATCAAGCCCATCCACTATATCGAATCCAACTTGCAATAATAAAGCAGTCCTTTATCAGCAAATTCGTGATGAGGGCTTGACCAGCCAGCAAGTCACCTGGTGCTGTGGTTATAACGGAGGCTATGGAGACTGCGTCTCTACTGGAGTAGAACGGACACGACATAGCCAATTAGTGTGTCAAAACTGGTGTTTCTGCAATTGCAAACTGCAATTTGAAGAACTCTGTGCAATTTGAAGCACTCTTAATATGACAGGACACCCAGAGTTGAAGAATGGAGCATTCGCTATTGGACGGTGCAGTAATGAACATTTCAACGATGCGTGAGAGGTAGCACTAACACCTGAAAAAGAGATCTTCGCAATAAAAGTAGAACACAAATCGACCTGCCTACTGCCATCATAACGGTAAAAGAGTCGGATCAGGACAATGCAATGATAGCAAATTTCTATTTGATTAGTGTACGAATAGCCCAGACAAAATAGAATGTTCTTACAATCGTGAGCATAGAGGTGTGGTATGGGAGCGATAGTGCATCGAAATTCATCCTATTAATCACAACAAGCCGATCATCAAGTACCAGGAATAAGAGGCTTAATTGATGTGGTCGAGTCAAGCCATGAAAGGCTTGCTCGCAAATGTCTGAGAAATTTTATTTAGTAGAAGAAGAGCGTGGATCACGCAAAAAGAAGTTCGCAAGTAGATATATTCATATGCACTGTGCCAAGGATTACCTGATCTCAGATCTATAACCTCATATCACCTTTCACTGCCATAAAAAAGGCCGTTCACCTGCCCGTACTCATTTGTCTTGAATGCGAAGAAGCTCACAGAGCAGAGTTTCTTCCATTCATCTCCACGCTGTTATTCTGTACACACAGTAAGGCAAGAATTTCTGAACCCCTTGTTTTTCTATGCAGGCCGTTGAGTATTAGAGGCTCTCTATCCGCTGAACATGAGAAAGTTGCTGAAACTACGGGCGATAGTACTACATCGATCGAGAATTTTATGCAGTTCGACGCAATACTTTCATTCCTTCAGTCAAGAGGAAGCAAAGGCCGTCACCTTCGTGCTACATCAGATCATGAGGATCTAAACTCCGCCTCAGTGCGATACTACAGGTGCGATACTAATGGGATACAACAGGTAAGATACGCCAACAAATCGGATTGATAAAATCTTGGAAGTTTTTTTAGCCTATTTCTTCGTTTCTCTAGGGCGGAGGTGGTGTAATGGCAAGTGGCGCACTATCTCACAGGTGCAGTCAGGGGGGTCGATTCCCGGATCGATACCCGCCTAGGCCAACCGAGCCTTCCATTCCTCTGGGGTCGATTAAATTGGTACCAGACTCGTCTTGAAGGATAAAAGCACTGACTTGTACATCGGCAGGCCACTGCAAGTCTTTGTATAGCCGCATACGCACTCATTACGCCACTATGATTCTGAATGGAAGTAGAGTGCGGGCGCATCCCTCAGACGGGATGATTAACGCTAAAAACTTTATCCTTTTCATTTATTTCTTCGTTTCTCAAAGTTGCACAGTGAAGACATTCTAGTGTCAAAATATGGTGCTCTTTACTCGACGTTGAGCGCACAGTAACGCTCTCATTCGAAGAAGCTGAACAGTACCTCAATGGCGTGCTTGCTTCCATAAGCTGGCGAAATTAATTGCAGAGAGCAAACTCCCTGGCATGCTTCCTATTTGAAAGCGAATTACGAATTTATATAGAACCACCGCACACTTCGAGGGCGCTCCTTCTGTTCGGACGACTATCTTCATCGTGCGGTTATTGCCCCTTTTCTAACCTTTGTCCATTTTTAAACGATAGCTGAGCTCTTACAAAGCCAAAACCAGTATTTTCGCCTTTGACCGCCCATTCCGGTGCATGTCCCACCCCTGTGGTTCCGCTGGCTCATGTGTACTTCTCTGTTGTTCCTGCCAGAAGCTCCATCCAATTTGACACGGCCTCTTCAGGATTCGTAGTGAAAAAAAACAGGGAAACAGATGCTAGACATGTGGCTCATATATAGTAAAATTGCATGCTTTTTGGTAACTCTATCACCAGTTTCTTCATTGTACCTGATTACTTTTGTTTAACTTATTTGTTTAATTGTTTAATTTTCATTGCCGATTTAATGTTCTTATTATTCGAAGATAACACAATTGCAGTTAAAGACTACTTGGAAGCGACAGCTGAAGGTTTTCTCTTTCGAGCTGACGCGTTCTAATGCAAACGGCGCGTACAAGTGAAGGTCAAGACTACTCTATCACAAACTCACCGTCTAAACTTTTGTGTCCCCCACTTCTACCGCCATTTGATCGTCTCCATCAGTCTACACTGTTAAACTATTCTGATCGTCGTCGTCCTTATTTGTCCTCTGTCCCTATCTTTCTTTAGTCTAGGAGGTGTGAAGGCCGCCACCATAGTCCCGCATTAGGACTGAGGAACATCTTTCTCCAACATTCGTCAGGATACGCCATCCCTCCAGCTGTGGTGGGCACCAGGATTTTACCACCCACCTTGCGGCTCCACCTCCGAAGCGCTTCCTCTCATTTGGATTTATAGTCACGTCAGCAAGCAAGGACTATTAGACCACTGTCGTCTCGATGTTCCCCTTGACCACATTTCCGATGTAAAGAAACTGAATGTCTACTCGAATGCTCACCGACTAAATCACCAACTGGTTTGGATTTGCTTATAGCTTAATACGACACATACATAGTTTAGACACCCTTTCGTGAGTCTCGTAGCTGCTCAGCGTGTCACACCTGTCGCGGCACACGTTGGAATGGAAGGGTAGGATTTCAATTTCCAGTGTAAGGTTATGGTAGTTGCACGAAACCGATGCTGCATGCATGTCTGCGACCCTGGGAATTCGGCTATGAAGTCCGTCAGCCCCGTTTCCGTCGTATACGTTTACAGAGCAGAAAACTGTTTATTTTCCGAACCTTTGTATTCAAAATTGGGAAAAACATCTCTTCACAGTTGACTTTTCAGAACCCATTTTCTGAATTTTTTCTGGCTGTATTCATTGATACATTTCTGACTAAAGTTTCCGACTGCCCAATGTTTCCGATCCCGACCAAAAGGGTGAAAATTTGGTTTGGTGTGCGAAAATCACTCACATATCGGCGGTCACCTTCACGTTTCTCTCGCTTCCCCATGCCTAACATCACCGCACACAGGGGAGCAATCAGTGTGAGAAGAAGCATCGGATAGGCGAAACCATAGACGACCATGTGTGACCAGCCATTGTTCAAACGACCAAACATGAAGCCGACGTTTAGAGAAACCTAAAATAGACATCAAATATCCTTGCAACATTTAACATTTATGTACAACGTGGGAAGAACGGAGCACGGTAAGTAGGAATTAATGTAATATCAAGAATCGTAGTTAACGCCAACGATCCACAAGAAACCTTCGGAGACTGGTCATAGTAGTCATCCCTTATTCATATAGTAAACCAAACATACATCTAGATTACGCGGGTAAAAGGAAACTCAAAGAGAAAGGATAAGTGAGTTCTGTGATTCCATCTGATTTTTTCGCGTTACACTTAATTAAAGATACACCTAACTATATGCCGTGATGATAAAAGTCCCGCTGTTCCGAAAGCCTAGAACCACAGACTAAATCAACTTCTTTACAGTCCCTCTTCAGTCCTAGGAATTTTTCCCCTAGCTCGTTGTGGTCCGTTGATTCCTTGGCCTCCAACGTCAGCAACGAAAAGGACGAAGTCTTTATTTACTGAATTATCGTTGACGTTTCCTGTGTTGACTGCTCTACTCGATTTTCTTTTTCTTGATCTGCAATAGAATTATGGGTGGCCGTATAGCAAGGAGCAAGTGGCTGCGATGTTGGGAAAACGATCGACGTACTCCTGGTAAAAAAAACCACAGCTGCAGATTTCTGCCATAGCAAGTGTGATCCCACTGCGGAAGAGCCAAAGAAGTAATGACTGCTATCACGCGAGGGCTCCATTCATCCCAAGCCGAAAGTGCGCGGCTTTGGTAAGAACTTAATAGTCTTCCAAATAAACTGTCTCCAGGGATGTTTTTGGCCAACGATAAGTTCACTACATCCTATGCTCTCAGAGGTTTGGTTTATAGTCTGAGAAGGAGAAGACGCTTCGGAATGAAGTGGAGACACTGAGATATAGGAAATTTGACGCTCCTGTCATCCAAAAATACCAGGAGCGTTCG